TGAAGGCCAAGGAGCTGGATCGTTTTTCTCAATCTGTTATCATTGTCAGAAAAATATTATTTAAAGATGCTAATACCAGGGGACTGGTAAATAAGAAAATTGGCCTTGGCAACAGAACATGTAGAATGTGAAAATATATAAGCCCTTTTATGACCTGTCAGGGAGAAAATACCAATTTTTTGAATTTTAAATATTCATTGCAAAACCTAAATCATGTCAAATCTATTACTAGTTGAGTCTCTTTACGTATGAAAATCCATGTCTTAAAAGCATTATGCTCTGTAAAATAAGCTGTCAGCCATGATTGCTGAAAAATACATCTCTTACAGCTCAAAGAGAGGACTAAAATTGCTCTGGGAATTTTTGAACACAGACACTTTGGGTCTGAAGTGGAATACCACTTCCCCCTCAAAAGTCTCCTTACTAATTTTAATTTTAAGTGTCCAACCGTTTCCACAGCTATCGCCAAACCAATCAGGGAAAACTCGTTCTGTAAAAATCAATAAAAAAAATTTACAATGTAAATAGTTACATTAGTTATTTTCCTTGTGATTAAACTATAAGATTTTGTTATTTCTTTTGGCATTCAGTTCTTTAGCTGTCTGAAAATGGTTCACTTTGACCTTCTTCTTTGGTCAGTCAAACTGAAGTGAGGGGGCCTCTGTCTATGTGTAGACTCCTGTATATTTAACTTTTGATTATGTGGGACCAATGGCCAGTATAATAGAAAAAAATCTCCCCAAACCATTTCTAGGATTATCTGTTCACCTTGCCATGTCCATCTTGCAATGAAATCTGACTTGCACCTGCCTGCTCCTCCGCATGATTGGACTCCAAAGACTATTACCAATGAAGAGATTGTCCTGTGTCATTGTTTATAACATGGACTTAATGCACACGCACATTCACAAGCACATTTATAGTTCTAGATGAACCTTGGAACGATAAACCATGTATAACCAGTTTCTTTGCGAGGTGTTAGCAGTGAGAACTACAGTCAGCCAGCCTGACAGATCAAACGCAATCTCGATGATGTTTAAAAAGGATTTGAAATCATTTGAATCATTTCTGTGTTCTTTCTCACGCTCTTTCAATTCTATTTTGTCCCTTTATTTTCAAAATGTCTATGGAACAAGAGGATGAACTGGGGGAGAACTTTGACCTCTTTGACTCTTTGTAGGTGGATACTGGATTAAATATATTGTGATTTCTGTTTCTTATGGATTATTAAAGTCAGAGGAAATCTGCTTCCCTTCACATAAAAGCAAATCCCAACCCAGATGATGCTGGAGTTTCCCTGTTGACCATGGTTATTATGCTGCTGTGGCCTTGGGTACCGGGTTCTCACAGCAGTGCCGAAAGGTCTCATGTGATTTCGCTCTGAAACCTGGTGAAAGAAGCATGTCATGTGGTCTGACTGTGCCAGGGAATAAATAAATAAGCAATAAGGAATGACCTACTTTCTCACTGGGGGTCAAGAGTGTGTGCTGTGAATGTGACCATGTAGAATGCTGTTTTCATTTGAGACTGGTTTCTTCTAAACAATGACCTTTATTTCTATCTGCAGATACCAGTTGTATCGCTTTAATTCAGGAGGAAGTTTCCTTCAAAGTATAGAATCAATGAAGGGAAGAGATCATTTCCTGGGAATCTTAGGCACGTAGAACAGGGTTAAATGTCCTAGGTTAACTATTAAATTCCTAGTGATTTGAATTATTTTCTAAGAGAAAAGGCAAAAAGGACTTTTCTTTGTCTACATGGTAGCCAACTTTAATATCTCAGCTCCTTGGAGAATTAAAATACATGATTTTGTGGCTTGATGAGAAGGTCACTGCACATGCATTAATTTACCTGGCAGTACCCAAACCCTGTTGATGAGTGGCCCTTCTATTTCTGCAAATAACATGTTTTTATCTAACCAAATAACTATTAGAAAGCCTGGTAGAAAAACATTCTTCAAAGTTATCACATTTATCTTTTTATTTGTTTGGAAATAGAAACCAAAATCCCTTTATCATCTCTGGCATAGTTTCTATTCTCATTTAAATCATAGATCTTTACGATCTTTTTAAAAAAATAAGCTTAAAAATGTTCATGATAGGTACCTGAAAATATCTATGATATTAAGACAGGAAATTGAATTCCAAAGATAATTGCTCATGGAGAGAAAAAGACAGAAGAGTTATTGGTGCCTTCTGATACCATAAAGGATTACCAAATATTTGGTGATTTGGGCCAAGTTTATAATGAGCAGGAAAAAGGGTTCATGGACAGTAACTTCTTGAAGCTCCGCAAGGAACAAAAGGAACAACCAGTCACCGAGGAG